CGGGCGCTTAGAACACTAGTTAGGGCACTGGTTATGACTTCCGCACGGAAAAAAAAAAAAAAAAAATGGGGCACTGGTTATGAGGCATTACGAGTCCCCATTGGGTTCAATACAAGTCACGCAACCCTGAAATACATACGAGAATTAACAGAGAATTTCTATTTAAGAAAAACTTTTTTTTGTAAATAATCCTTCTTAGTTGTACGTATTTGACTTTTCTTTTGTGTTATTCTTTTAACTAGGAGGCCTGTCTAATTCTACCTATTTATTAGTCAGCTTATGACATTTATGTTAATTCGAATAAAATTCTTTTAAATAAGTACATAAACTATCACCGTATTATATTTTTGAATCGGTGACATTTCAAACATGGCCTCCCTGAGGTAAAAAACCTCACTAACAGTCTTTAATTTGTTACATTCTTATATACTTAGGAAGTCCGTGTGGTGACGGATTAAGAATACAAATTGTCACCACCCCAATTCATCCCGTGGGTGTCGTAAGAGCCGACTAAGGGAGCAAACTAAGCAGGACAACAGCACTGCAAAGAGAAGGAAAACTTGAAACAAACCCTATACCGACCCGTCTGGCCATTAGCGTGTTATGATAGGCCAAAACCTCCTTTCTAAGGAGAGGCCTATGTCCAGCAGTGGACTAGTATAGGCTGTTGATTATGATGATGATGTTGATACTTAGGAACAAAACTTAATTTATATAATATTTATATGTAGATAAGCTATAGATCAAACCATCTGATCTATATGAAAACCATATGATAATGTGGTTACAATACCACAAGCTCTGCCTAGTTTGGAATCAGACGGGCGCGTGTCAGATGTGTGGGATATATATGTGGGTAGTATGAATTATTATTAATATGGCAGGCCACGTAGTAAACAGTGTGGTCTCCTGCCCATCATCTTGGAGGTGTAATAATAGAAGCTTATTCAACAATATTTACGTATATGTTTAAACTAAAATATACATAATATATAGATAAACTCATGCCTTTTTCTCTTCAGGGTAGGCAGAGGACCTTACATACATACAAAACGAGCGTCGTTTACTGTTATCAAATCTTTGGAGTTACACCACCTTTTATATCCTATGATTATAATATTTTTAAAAGAAAATTTCAACTATAACTTTTTTTGCGTGGAAACTCTATCCGGTGTCCAATCTGTCAATATTTTAAAATTTAAACTTCGAACTTTTAAATTACTTATAATAATAATAGGTCTTTACCTATGAAATTGCCGTTTTGTGTGCAATAAGTGAAAGTACTTATTTTTTCAAACTTTTTTATTTCTGTTATTCGAAGTAATCACCCATGCAATCGACGCATCTTTGCCAACGCATTGGCAGTTATTCATGCCCTTCTTGACCTTGCACCTACCGACTATTCCTTTTTTCAAAATTTTGACAACTTTTTGTGGGTAAAAAATTCAATTCCCGAGAGGCAGTACAAAATGCCTTTGAAGAGTTTGTTGCCTCCCGTCCAGCTGATTTTTACAAGAAGAAGAGGCAAAGATGCGTCGATTGCATGGGTGATTACTTCGAATAACAGAAATAAAAAAGTTTTAAAAAATAAGTACTTTCACTTATTGCATACTCGTACAAAACGGCAATTTCATAGGTAAAGACCTAATATTTGAGTGTGTTTCGTTGCAACCGCCAAAGGGCATCAAATCGCTTCATAGATTACACATATTTTTTTAATGACACCATGAAATGCCAATCCAAATTCTGTATTTTTCAACTCATATTGCATCTGACAAAATAAACAAACGAGTAGACTATTTACTTTTAAACATTGGAAATTAGAACTTTCATAAACCCCAAGGAGTTTTACTCCTTTCTTGCATCTTGTGTGGGTTCTTTTTTCTGCACGAATATATGTTAGTAGTACCTAGTTTACTAAATTTAGACTGCCTCGTGGTCTTCTATTCAATACAGAAAAACTAAGATTTTAACTACTCACGCTTGAACTATCATCACCATCATCATCAACAGCCTGTAACAGTCCACTACTGGACATAGGCCTGTCTTTAGAAAGGAGGTTTTGGCCCACAATACATCACTGAACTGTGGCTTTCTACATATCTGTATAGACTTAAACATTGCCCCAGTGGCAAGGCAGAGACAATTTAATATTGTTACCATATTTATTTAATATTAGCTTTTGCCTGCGGCTCCGCCCGCGTGTACCTTTGTCGGTTATCGCAGTAAAAAGTAGCCTATGTTACTCGCTGATAATGTTGCTTTCCACTAGTGAAATATTTTTTACAATCGGTTTAGTGGTTTAGGCGTGAAAGCGTAACAAACGAACTTTCACATTTATAATTTAAGTATAGATTTGTGATATAATCTGTATTTAAACAAGAATAAATAATTAAGTTTATTTCATTTATTTTCCTTTCTTAACAAAAACATTGACAACTAAGCGACCTTGCCTTTTTAAGCTATTTCCTACAAAAGTTTCATCATCATTTTTATAAAATTTCTAAACTTATCGATAACGTTAATATTAAAGATACATTTCAGTAATTTTGGCGATATAATCTTCTGTCTAAACGTTTATTAAGTTAAATTTGGCTTTACTTTAGTTAAACGCGTTAATTGCTTTCAATATTGCTATATTATCACATCAACAGCCTTTAATAGTCCACTGCTGGACATAGGCCTCTCCTTAGGAATTAGGTTTTGACCTACAATACCACGCTGGCCAGACGGGTTGGTATAAAGTTTGTTTCAAGTTTTCCTTCTCTTTGCAGTCCTGTTGTCCTACCTAGTTTGCCCCCTTAGTTGGCTCTTACGACACCCATGGCATGAACAGGGGTAGTGACACACCGTATTCTTAATTCGTCACCACACGGATAAATATAAACATCATCCCTTTATTACCATTGCCTTCTCTTCCTATCTCCCTTCGTTTCAATGCACTCATTCTTCCATTTAATGCCCTAAGTTCGGTTAACGCCATTATCTCACCCCCTATTAATTAAACAGGATTAATAATATCCTAGTTCACAATGTAGGCCTTTAGGATACAGGCGTCATTACTGTGTGTGAGCTCAAAACAAAATGGTTGCGCTCTTTTTATGGCTCTCTTTCTCTTTACAGACTATGATTATCATATTTAAGAGACATTCTCAATAATTTATTAAGAACTTACATGACATTAATAATAAAAATAGTATCTTAATAGGTAGATCTCACACACTCCCGTCAGACCCTAATCAAATGGGGTCTCAGACTGCTGATAAACACACTTAAATATTTCTGAACACATACATTTTATAGATAAATTACACCCAGACACAGAACGAATAACCGTGCACATCACACAATTATTTGTCCTGGATGGAATTGAACCCACGACCTCCGGCTTACCAGCTCACTAGGCCAACATGCCCGTCATGGTTGTCATACATAATACTCATTAATATAAAGTACTTACATATAAATATTATAGATTAATACGCCATAAAAATGTTTGTTATTACAACAGCTGCTTAAAAGTCACTCATGAAAAAATTGGGCCGCAAATTCCTCGCCATAGACCCAAACACGACAATAAAGGCACTACTCTTTTTTTTTTTACTATCTCAATGTTGAAAAGCAAGAAGCTACCGACTTTCCGATGTTATTATTGGTCCCCCTTTGTTTGCAACCCTCAAGCGCGCACCGGGCCCGTCCGACCCGGCTCATCCCCGCTTTTGTCCCGATACTTACAGGGATTATCGGAACGTAATTACCTGTTTTGCAAAGCTGCAATTAAGTGTGCAAAAACATGCAATCCCGACATCTAAGTGACCGCCGGACGGACTAACAAATAAGTAGCAGAATTTGCTACTGGATTCTGTTGACGGAAATTAAAGTACGCGAACACAAAAGTTTGTTACATTTTTGTTTCTGAGAATCTTTTTGTAATTGGGTGACTGCCGATGTTATCCTATCGCTAAATACGTTTTTTTCCTAATTTCTTCAATACATTTTATTTAATGTAAAAGAATGTTCTTTCTACTTAGTATTTACAATAGAGTTATAAGAGGTTATACTATTTTACATAAGCATACAAAAGTTTATTCGACGATAGATTGTTTTTGATATAAAAATCAAGCAAAACTTATACCAACCATTGTTTTGTTTGATGAACAAATCAAATAGTCATAGTAAATTGCCGTACAAAATGCTACTATAAAATCTACCTTTTAAAAATATTGTTTTGTCTATTTTACCGTAAATATCGAATTTATTTTCCTCCTTCTAGAATTAGGAAAAGAAGAGTATTGTCTGGTAACCGCATCCACTCAGTTTTTTAATAAATTTCGTTAATTTATTTAGACTTTCTCTCAATCATAAAAGATAATAACTTTTTTGATACCCACATTCTGTCTGTAAGTACAGATATACGAGTAATAAACTCATAGATATCAAATAAATCTATTAACTCGTATTTTATGAAATTTCTAAGTATATATATGGGCACGTTTATCAGTCTGTACATAATAAATGCAGTTTGAATACAATTCGATTATTACCTGGGTTTAAGAAATCATGTGTAAACCGAAAATCTCCAAGTGATCGATACGAATTTAATTATTCACACGGTTATAAGCACTTTAGGGTAACTGTAAGTGTTCAAAAAGAATTAAACGGTAACTACTCAATGGTGCTCGATGCAATGGCCGTTTATAACAAATAACCATTAGAACAATAGGAATAATGAACAATAATACAAGAGGCACTCATCTTTGTGGCCGAAAGATGTCAGCCACTAAGTCACACAATGGCACATTATTTTCTTACATTTGTTGCAATTTTTGATCGATTATTTTCATTGCATTGATTCTCAAGTGCTCTTCAAAACCGCGAATGGGCTGCTTGAGTGTTATTTCGCGACCTTTCCTGTGTGAAAAAATACTTTCGTTTTCTCTTGATGACTTAATAATATATTTGTTTTTACAGGTTCCATGCTGTAGTTTAAAACTACAGACATGCAGCAGCAACATATGCAACCTTCTACAAGTAAGTGTTTGTGTGTTATTTTATCTTTAAAACCTTTAAACAATTATCATCTGTAAATTGACACAGTTTGCTAAATCGTTCAAATTGGATCATCGTGTATTTAATAACTCTCTGACATTACCAATGACCATCTGAAATAGGTATATATTGATATAATTTCAATAAACTGGAGCCTCCCCCCCCCCTCCTCCCTCCTGATTCTGTGGCACTCAAAGAACGACAAACGCTCTTGTGTCTCTTGAGTTGGATGTGTTCGTGGACAACGGTATTTACTTACCATCTACTTACATCTCTCGTGCGCAGGGTGCGTGGCAGCGTCAGAAGTATCCTGAACATGATCTCTGGTCAGGAACCATGGTTACATCTATCGTTGCTGCGCAATTGCATACGGAATGACGCAGCAATGATTGTTGTGTTTTCTTTATGTACTGTAGTAACATTAGTCTCTAAGAATATTATTACTAACGAATTGGACACCACGGCCTGCAAAAAAAAAAAAATTATTTTGAGGAATATATGTTGACAATTATTATACAAATAAATTAAGAAAGCAAAGTTAACATTTCTACATTACATGTCAAGTTTTTTCTCACGTGGTAACAATACAATTTATTTATTTATTTATAACTTTATGCACTTTTGTAAATGGCGGACTTAATACCCAAGGCATTCTCTTCCAGTCAACCTTTAGGTAGTGTAGAAATCGTGAGTGGTTACACATAGGTTATAACACTAATCATTAAGATATACACTACATAACAAAACACACGTAATTTCTGCATGGCCAAAACATTAACCGTGCATTTCTAAAATTTTAAATTATAATGGACAGTTTTTAGTTTCAACGGTGAACAGCATATTAGTCCTCATTAATTAGCAATGTACGAGATGACGTGACAGCAATTTAGCTCGTCGATCTATTCCCACGAGGTGCGTCCGCGCATCTGTCAAAACTCACAGAGTGCCCCTCACGCCCTCTCGGAAATGATACCGTTCATTAATGTTCGCAATGTTATGTATGTATTCATAGCCAGATATTAACAACATTGAAATAATTTTACTAAATTATCTCTTATTACGTCAATTTGAAAAAAATATCTTGTGGTCCCAAATAGTTACTTAAAAAAAATATTTGTGTCAATTAAAGAAGGAGGACACTTTTTTTCTTGAACCAGTTTATTATAATAATTCATTAATGAATAACTTATAAATAAAAATCTTAGTTTTATTAAATTACAAAAAGAAATTTGAAATTGTGGGTATTACGATATTGTTATAATACTTAAAGCAAAATACTAGTAAGCACAGTACCCATACATCACATTCACAAACAGGGTCACTTAAAACTCAGTCACACCCCAATTAATGTGGGAACAACGGGAGTAGCTCTCATGTTAAATAAATTTTAATTTAAATAGCATCCTCGATTAATAACCATCGGTTTGTTTTGGCCCCTCAGTGATCACGCGATCGGTGGGTCACTTAGGCACAGGTGAGCGTTCGCACGGTTGATAAATATCTTTTGGGATGATTTGAAACCGATAGGCCTAATGATATGATTCCAGTGCCAATTTTAGTCAAGTGAGTTTACTGTTGGTTTAAAAATCGAACTATTGTAAATCGGTTTATAACTGAATATTTTTTGTTTAAAAAATGAATACTTTTGTGATATAAAAAATTTGAAGAAGAACTTTAAGTATCCAATAAAATAAAAAAGAGTATTGATTTGAGTTTTGCGAATTATTTTTTATTTGAAATTGGAATATACATTTATGACAGATTTTGCCACGTATTTATCTTCGCTTTTGCTATGGCTATTATTATTAGGATAAAAATAATTAAGATACAATTTTATTTAAAATTAATTCCCTTTTGTTAGACTTTTTAATTAAATGCTAAAAATGAATCGATCGAATATGAAATTCTTTAAATAGTACTTCAACTTATAAAACCAAACTTTTAAAAAGGAAATACACACATTCTTAATTCAAAAAGCCGTAATTATCTGTGATGAGAGTTTTTCCCATCGTCCGCGCGCCCATTCTTCTGGCCGTTCATCCGACACCACACATCCTGTACAAGTGTATACTATTCATACAAGTAGAATGTCTTATACGCTTTGCCTTTATGCCTTTTCGACTGATCGTGGATGAATAAACTTTTGTCTATGCCCGTGGGATCTTATGGTTTTTGAATTTAGGGTACGGCATATCGGATATGGATTTTTTTTGTTACGTATTATTTATTTATTATGAGACAACTAGTTTTATATGTCGTATGGAAATAAACAGAAAAGGCTACGAATTTATGTTATTAATATTAATTAACTCAGAAAGAAGCTACAAAAACTATCATGTAAAATTAGAATACTTTTTATTTGTAACTAGCTGACCCGCGCAACTTCGTCTGCGTCTCTCAATAGTAATAAATTTACTCCGTTTTTGTAACATTCTTCATTGGTGCTCCGCTCCTATTGCTCTTAGCGTGATGATATATAGCCTATAGCCTTCCTCGATAAATGGGCTATCTAACACTGAAAGAATTTTTCAAATCGGACCAGTAGTTCCTGAGATTAGCGCGTTCAAACAAACAAACAAACAAACAAACAAACAAACTCTTCAGCTTTATAATATTAGTATAGATTGTAACACATAACATTCAAAGTAAATGAACTGACAATCAAAACGCACGAATTTTGAGATTGCATACAAACGCTTAAAAAAATTAAATCGACTTCAAAACAAACACGAAAAAAAGATGTATTTACTTATTACAAAAAAAAAAAAATTGAAAAGACTACTATAAGTACATGTAAGACTGTTATTCGAGAGTGTTAGAGAGGCACTGTCTACTAATATGAGGTACCAAGCCTGAAACGCTACTTAAGGTAATTCCTAGAGAAAACAGCCAAAAACGACGTGAGAATTAACTACCTACTACCTAAATGTTTCAAGTTAAATATCTGGATAATTGTTTATTATTAAAGACCAACCGATTAACTTTTTATTATACTAAAATAATATATCATGCTGGACATAGGCTTCTCCCTAGAAAGGAGGTTTTGGCCTACTATGCCACGCTGGCCAGACGGGTTAGTATAGAGTTTGTTTCAAGTTTTCCTTCTCTTTGCAGTGCTGTTGTCCTACCTCGTTTGCTTCCTTAGTCGACGGGATGAAGAGGGTGGTGACATGTTGTATTCTTACTATACTAATATATACAACATAGTATGTCAAAGACTGCACGGATGGAGTAGTGGTTTAAGCGATCTTCACGCCACTTACTGCCACGCTGAGGGTTGTGGGTCCGATCCCCACATGGGACGACACTTTGTGTGATCCACAAATTGTTGTTCTGAATCTGGGTGTTCTTTGTATCCGTTTCATATATGTTTATAAAGTCCCCCACGACACAGGATATATTCCTAATGCGGGAGTTGTCTTTAAAAAAAAAGTCCAAGTATACAAACTTATCAACGGTGTATTGAAGCGTTCTAAATTCAATGTCATTTGTGTGACGAAGTCTGTCCGTTTTGTTTTGTGAAACGTAAAGCCCCTCGCAGCTGCCGCGGTAGGCGCCAATATATCAAATACCTACTTGGCTTATTAAGATATAAAGCTACGTTTTGTTTAAGCTGCGTTTGCCTCCAATCAATTCTACAAGGATTTTAGTATTTAATATTGCGGAACCCACGATTGGCCACGAGTCATTATTATATTTACCAAACCCAACATGGATGGGTTTTTTTGCGTAAGTGCAATGAATGGCGCGGAACCGACTTTATTCATGGTTAGAAAAGTGTGCAGATAATATTTTGACATTTTAATCATTTATTTTTAATAGATAATAAAATTCCTTTCGGCTTTTGCGCAGTGTTTGATATTTTTATATTTTTGTATTAGCTGATGATGTTTATTGTAGGGGAATTAACGCGTCACCAGGGACATCCTTTCTAGGGTATACCTGGTTCCCCGGCTATTGGTACCCGAGACGGCGTGCGGTTTTAGTCGGTTCGAGTCCGACATGCCACCTATAGGTGGTATCCGAGGGGACTTCAGCACGGAAAAAAAAAGGGGGAATTAACGCATTCAATGGCTAGTGCAACCTGAACTAAACGTGAGGCAATTAAAATATAAATCATCATCATCAACATCATCAACAGCCTTTACTAGTCCAATGCTGGACATAGGCCTCTCCTCAGAAAGGAGGTTTTACCCTACTACTCTCTTTGCAGTGCTGTTGTCCTGCGCAGTTTGCTCCCTTAGTCGTCCTTTACGACACCCATGGGATGAACAGGGGTGGTGACACTCCGTAGTCTTAATCCGTCACTACACGGATAAAAAATAGGACAAAAGTTACATAGCCTATTTCAAACCTTTCAAATTTTATTTCCTCAACAACAAAAGAAACAGCCTATTTCAGTTATCAAAGTTCCAACTATCTCTATAACAAAATAAAATTCATCATAATGTAAAACAGTATGTTGGGCTTTAAAACTAAATAGACCGACTTTTTATGGATTTTTTTCTAAAAAAAAAGTTATTTATTTGAAAATAAAATACTGTTTTATAAATTAAATAAATTATTAAATAAATAAATTTATTATTAAATAAATTAAAGGAAGACAGTCATAAAATGAACAGACTAAATTTGTGTGAACTATTAAAAAATGTACTCGACTCCAGTGGTATTAATATCAACAATGCCTTAGTCAATCTAGAAGGAATCATAAATCACCGAAGCACCTCCCACTGGGGCGTAACCCTACGGTCCCGTCCCGCAGCGGTCCACTCTTCGAGAAGCGTGGTGTTCATATACCAATGTGTCATTTTGATTTATTAACGTATTGTGTGTATGATGCAGGTTCTTGCCGTGATATATACACAATTTTTTTTTTCTTCGATAGAAATAAGTTAACGCCATTTTGAATTTATATTCAAAATGGCGTTAAAATATTAGACTAGCTAATTTAAAAAATATTCCTAACGTATTTTAGTAACTTTCGTTTAACTTGCCATGTTTGTTATTGTAGTCGAATCTTAGAAGGTTAACTCAAAATTAAATTAAACCTCTGTCACTTAAATCTATAGATTAGATTTTTTTAAACGTTGGTTTACTTCCGACGACAATGAATTTTTATAACATGCATGGTTATACTCTGCGCTCGGGACAAGGGAACTCTTTAGCAACAAAATATTGTACATATACATATCATCGTTGGCCCCTTATACCATAAAAGTTGGAACATTTAGGTACATTAAAGTTCGTACACATACGAACTGCCAGCAAAATAAATAAATGCATTAAAAGTGTCGGGGCCGCGATACCCACATTTGCGAATACTTGTGAGATAATCAAACACTTGCGGCAAGTCTGGTTATTCTTTGTGTACGATGTTGGATTGTTTGCTAAGTCCCTGCGACACGAGAATTACGTATTTCTAGTGAGGAAGAAGAAAGGAAGGAGGAAGAATTTACAATGACGTAAATGTATATATAAAATTCTCGTGTCACGGTGTGCGTGGTTGAACTCCTCCGAAACAGTCCGACCGATTTTCGTGAAATTTTGGATGCATATCGAGCAGGTCTGAGAATCGACCAACATCTGTTTTTCATACCCCTAATTATTATTTTTTGACAAAAAAATTGAAATAATGTATATGGCAAAACAACGTTTGCCGGATCAGCTAGTGTTTTATAGGATAGCTCACACGCTCACACACACACCACGTCTTTATTTTTTATTTTTTTATGAACAGATAGATCACTTCATGATAAATGAGAGAAATATATTCTGGAATACGGGACAAGCTTTAAATTTAACTTTAAATATTTTTGTATGGAGGTCTTATTTTAGCCGACTGCGCCAGGAGGGTTATGTTTTTCGAGTGTGTGTATAAAAAGTGTGTAAATTTCTTTGGCAAAACCTGTAGCCTGTAGATCGAGAAATTCATTTTAATTGTGAGAGTGACACTAGGCATATATAAAAAACAAATTGTCGGTTTTTGATGAAATTGGTTTAAACTTTTAGTAAGTGACTACTGGCGCTCACGGACACCTGTCGTGTAAAAAACGGCTTAAAAAAAAAACAATGTATCCTCCCAACCCTACCCTCCACCTCCTAATCACGAAAAATGCCAACCATCATAATATACTTGTGAGTTTTTTTAAGTTATTTATCTCAAACGCTGGAGAGAGGGGGCGTTACTATCAAGTGTCTGCCCCGGTTCGAAATAATCGTAAATCCGGGGCTGACACCCGTAATTCCAAAGACACAAGTGCGGTGCCACCTTTTAAGGTGCCCTTTCCTCCCCCTCCCCCCTCACAGTTAGAGGGGAGAGTGACCTGCAGTGACCTCACTCATTAGGTGAAAATCAACGAAAGAACTGCTAAAGATTTGGTTGTTTGAGAGGCTGTGGTTTTCACTTTGGTCGAAACCGGCTCATAATGTTTCGAATTTCAAGATTTCTAATCTATTTAAAAGGTATTTACAACATATTTTCTCCATTAGGCCGAATCCTGTACGACGTGCCGTGCGCCGTCTGCCATGACCACTCGTCAGGCAAACACTACGGGGTATTCGCCTGCGATGGGTGCGCAGGCTTCTTTAAAAGGTCCGTTCGCCGTGACCGCCGATACACCTGTAAATCGAGGACTCCTGGCATGTGTGTAGTAGACAAGACCCACCGGAACCAATGCCGAGCTTGCAGACTGACAAAGTGTCTGCGAGTTGGAATGAATAGAGACGGTAAGTAAGAAAAATGTGAGATCGGAAACGGGTCCCATCTCAAAGTTTTTTGCTACGGTAGATAGCCCACTGACTTATTATTAGGGATGCAAATAAAACACAATCATCTGTGATATATCATATGATTTATTAACATATACTCGTAATCACACTGTTAATTATACGACAGCATTTATATTTTAAATATAAAATCGTATTTCAATATATCAAAATTACACGTGAATTTGGGAGTGACTAATAGCAATCATTAAATCATATGATCATGATTTTAAAATAGCAATAATTCCCATGTCTGCAGTTTATTATTAATTAGGCAATTCATTAAAAGAATTGATCATTTCAATTGTTGTCAAAAGTTGCCGATGGTATTTAGTTTAAGAGGCAGAGTTCCACATCTCAAATACAAAATGTGTAAATTTGCTTTAACTGTGCATTCAAATATTGTAAATTTTTGCGTAAATAAAGGATATTATAATATTATTATTATCTTAAAAGTGGGCTGGTCGAGCCGGCCCATTTCAGCCGGAGCATGGCTTTCTTACATTATCAACTTAACGGTTTAGAAATCCATGTATAATGTACAATAAAGTTGACTGCCTCGGAGTTGCTGTGGTAGCGTATGCGACTGTTGTGCTGAAGTCTCAGGATCGATTCCCGGGTCGGACCAAATGTTTTTATGATCTGCAAACATTTTCTTCGGAGTTTGGGTGTTTTCTATGTATAATATATATGTATTTACCAAAAAAAGTATTTGATCAGTCAATCTAGTTTTCATAGTACAAGCTCTGCTTAGTTTGTAACTAGATGGCGTTGTGTGTCAGACATTTGAAACATTATTTTATTATTATTATAATACGTTGTTTCAGCGGTCCAACATGAACGGGGACCACGCCACTCAACACTCAGACGTCAGATGGCTCTACTCTTTAATGAACCAACTCCAATCACTGACACACAAAGAAACCCTCAACCAGCACCAATGCCTGCACCACAAATAACAACGCCTCATATCCCCATAATGCCAATAGCACCAGTGCCTATATTCCCTTACGCTTACAATCCCATGATGCATCATCTTCTGTTTAGCCCACCGAGAGCTCCATCCCCACCGCCTCTCGGTTCTACCACATTAAGTCCAGACCACCCTGAGGCCATGAGTGAAGCTGCAGCCCGGTTGCTCTTTTTGAACGTCAAGTGGGCAAGGAATATTCCAGCTTTCGATTCCTTGTCTATAGACGACAGACACGTTTTACTTCAAGAGTCCTGGAAGGATATATTTGTACTCGGAACTTCACAATTTGTGTTTCCAATAGATGTTCGGGAATTTTTACGTAAGCAGAGTTCGATAAGTATCAGGGATGTGGAAGCTTACGAAGCATTCTACGATGAAATTAAAAAAATACGTCCTGATCCGAACGAGTATGCCTGTCTCAGAGTTACGATCCTGTTCAGGACCTGCTTCGATGAAAGACTTTTAGGCAATCTACTTCCGAAATTCAAGAACCCACGAACAATCCTCACGTGCCAACAAAACGCGAGATTCGTGTTACATGAGGTAAGATTCTAAAATAAACAAATGTTTTTTTACCCTGGATCAAAATGAAATAGCTGAGAATTCTTAAACAAGATGTCATGTATATTTTTATCAACTCTTAATAAGAGTACAGCCGCGATGGAATAGCCCTGGATACTGCCGTCGATAAACTGATCATTATATTTTTTTCTAAAAGCACCGAATAACGCAATTATTTTTATAATATCTCTTGATAATCAACAACAAATTGTATTGGCAAATTTTTAGTCGTTAGTTCATTCTGTATCTAAGTACTGACCTCAATGGTATGACTAGTTAAAAAACTTTACAAGTTAAATCCCTACTCAAATTATAAATGCGATAGTAACTCTGTCTGTCTGTCTGTCTGTTACGTTTGACATAATTTTAATGAAATTTTGGCGGAGAGAAACTTTGATTCTTGAGGAAAGACATAGGCTGTTTTTTACCTAGATAACAGACATCTACGCGAGCGGACCCACAGGTAAAAGCTAGTAAAATATATTTTACCAGTATCTTCGAAAGCCATTGCAATCATTATCATCTTTAACAACCTTTAATGGTCCACTGCTGATCATACGCCTCTCCTTGGAAAGGAGATTTTGGTTTACTCTACCACGCTGGCCAGATAAGTTGGTATAGGTTTTGTTTCAAGTTTTTCGTCTCTTTGCAGTGCTATTTTCTGCTCAGTTTGCTTCCTTAGTCGGATTTTGCGACACCCACGAGATGAATAGGGGTGGTGACACTCCATATTCTTAAACCGTCACCACACGGACGTTGCTATAATAAATACGTCGAATAGTCATTGATATGTGGAATATTATTTAAGATCCTAAGTTTTCTCTACCATGAAACACATTTTTAGTACGCTTATAGCTGGAAAAATACTCGCTTTCTAAAACACTATAAGGAAATTCTCAAATCTCTCTTCTCAAATCAAAACAAACCAATTACTGACTTTTAATGCTAAATATTTTATTTTTTGTTATAGTACTCGATACGGGCATTCCCTCTGGAACCAAACCGAACCAGCCGCATACTGAACCTGATCCCAATGTTGAACAACGTGAGCAGCCACATGATCGTCGAGCCCTTCTTCCGTGCCACTGTCGGAGATAGCCCTATTGAAAAGGTTATTTGCGACATGTACAATAGTGATAAACACTCTGACTGACGTCCAGTGCATCTAGATGACAGTCTGACGTTGATTAGATCGCCTTGCCCACTCTGTGCTCAAAGTTACCTTCAAAGCATTTTAAATAACGCTTCAAATGACTCTTTGTAAATTAGAAAATATGTACATTTAAGGAAATTACTTAAATATCAAATAAATAGTTAGGAGTTTATTAACATCATTGAATATACCCTACGCTGTACATACTCGGATGTTTAACAGTAATTTTCGTGTCTCTAGATATACCATCAATGTATCTTAATAAAGTTACTTATATTATCTGAAGATGTAGATCAGTAGTTCAAACCGTTACATAATACGTGTATACAACTTGACTTAGTAAGGTCGCCCACTTCCCATTTTGTGCAGTTTCTTTAACGCCTGTCTGCACTGATAACGTGTAACTGCTTCCGTGAAAGCATAAGAAAATACGCTTGGAACATTAATACCAGTATAGAAGTCACAAGACAGCCACGCGTTTACATCCGTCTTTATCGCTACTGAAGTTCGCTAACATCGCGAGCGCTTATCGCGGGCGAGACGCCCTTCCTCGCCTCAACAATATCGTATCGCTATTGTTGATGCGGGGAATTGACAGCGACCAAGAGTCAATTTTCATAATAAATTGTCGTTCGAAATTCAAAGATTATTCTTGTAATAAAGTATTAAACATCCAACGTTGAATGAATGCGATCATTTAGTATTTGGAATAAAAGTTGATTCGGTATTCTGCTAGTCGTACTAATACTGTACTTCTTAACTATGAGAATATCTTTTATGACATTCGTGAGATCGAGATTTTTATTACGAGAATTTATTATCCACCACAATTTTGTGTTTTCGTCGCTAATGAATCGCTGCAAAATGTTACCGTGGGCGACCGCCTTTTGAAACCTTTTGTCACACGATATTTCGACCAAATTGTACCGATCGTGGTCACATAATATAACTATATCAGTATTGCACATGTCGTGGTCGTAATATATAGTCGTAGTCGTAATATATAGTCAAAATAGTTTTATTAATTGTGAATTGACGTTATTAATGTTTCTAGAGATACTGGCTTAGCTGAATACATGTAAGTACTTATGTACATGTAATTTTCAAAGTTATGTCTATTTATAGTGATAGGAAAGTTAAAAAATTGTAATATGATCATCTAGTCAAAATACGGCATTCCAATAGCTTTCGAATTAAGTAATTTTATTAGAAAAGTAATTTCAATGTTAATTGTATAAAAATTGTACCTACCTAGTTATTAGGTTAGATTCCTATGTTATATATTTATCTAGTAGAAATTGGTGTTTTTATCAATAACTAAATATAAGAAAGATGTTACGTAAAGTAAATGTACCTTTTTCAAATTAATAACTCTTTATTAGTGTGTAGTCTTTGGACTGCTATTCCAAAGGTCGCGGGTTCGATTCCCGCTCAAGTCAAACATTTGTGTGCATGAACATTTGATGTTTGATTTGGTCTGGGTGTTCTATGTTTAATACGTATGTATTTACAAAAAAAAAGTATATATGTATTTATATCAGTTGTATAGTACCCATAGTACAAGCTCTGCTTAGTTTGGGACTAGATGGCGTTGTGTGAATGTGGTACAATATTATTATATTAAAGTACAGGTTGTGCGACGCAAAATACCTTCATATTAAAAAATTATAAACTGGCTGGTTTCTCAACGAGATAATTCAGATAAAAGTATTAGTTTAAAAATCGGTCCGTGGCAAGTTATTGAAAAAAATTGAACAGGTGCGAAAACCTTGTGAAAAAAAAAAACGGATTTCTTTAAATGCCAAACAAAAAATATGAGATTATAGTGTAAGAGAAAACGAAGAAAATGAGGGTTGCTGAAGTCAATTTCGTTGTCAAGAAACTTTACGAGAAAACACGTTTTTATGATATACATACATGTACGTGTGTATACACATACACACACAAGCTGAGAAACGGAAGGGCGATTTTTGCCCTTCCGTTTCTCAGCTTGTGTGACTCGTAGGAAATCCGTTCGGAGCTTCAATTATAGTTTTTAAGACTGTTTTTTTTTTAATTTTCATCCCAAACTAATGATAAGTTGCCGCACAATTAGCGAAAATGTGAAAATAGGTTCTTCGGAAAAACTTCGTAGTCAGCAGCCGGTAAGAAAGCATCCTACGACAGTTTAGTTTAGTTTTTTTCGCTGTTTTTTTTTTCAATAAACCGGTTTTTCGCACTACAATAACTTACTACAAACCGATTTTTTAAAAGCATTTTTTTAAACATACTTTTACCCGAATTATCTCGTTGAAAAACCAGCCATCTTTTATTCGATCTGAACATCCTCAGCCTGTACTATTACTGTATTTGGAGTATTCACAATTACAATTGTTATGCAAAATTTACGTAATTTAAGACGATATTCATTAAACCAAATGTTTAATAAATATATCACTGTGTATTCGATCTAATTATATATTACTAGAAAACCAATTGTTGTAGTTAAGTTTCAAAATAAATGTTCAGAACCAAGAAATTGTTTTAATGAGTAATGTAGGCTTGCTTTATTTATTTCTAATGTGAATATATGTTTACATAGCAGGGCAATATTGTGTGGCGGCGAGTGCGTTGCGAAGCGCGCTCGCTTCCAGGGAGCACAGGGAACATGGGGTTCCCACACGGGGGGGGGTCGTCTACTCGTCTGTAGATGACCCGAGGTATGTCGGGGCACCAGGGACTTCCTTTCTAGGGTAAACCTGGTTCCCCGGCTATTAGTACCCGGCGACGGCGTGCGGTTTTAGTCGGTTCGAGTCCGACATGCCACCGACAGGTGGTATCCGAGGGGATTTTCGCACGGAAAAGGGCAATATTGTGTGGCGACTCCCACATACGAAGAAACAGAAAAATAACCTCCCTCAGATCCTCCCTTTGTGATCCTGGAACATGACACCCGTTCCTCCACAATTCCAATGAAACTAAGTTTTTGTTTTTAAAGACAACCCTATTCTCGAATTTAAAAAGCGCTGCCTTAGTGGGTTCGATTCGGGTAAAATTTTATGGAGTTTTTCTTAGAGGAAAAATAGCCTAAGTTACTCCTTATACAGACAGCTACTTGGTAGTAAAATATTATCAAAACCGTGTGAGCATGAAAAAAAACCTATAATTTTGATATTACAAACAGTCACTTCAATTATATTTATTTGTATAGATTATGGTAAAAGAAGTACCAGACCTTTAGTTAGAAACCATTTACAACAGTCTTCCTGTAGACATTGAAAGTAATTCCGTGTCAAAACAATCATTAAAAAATAAAATGATAAAGTTCCTCCTAAGGGTAGTCAGCGAAAACTGTATATTACATATATCTACAGTTTTCGCTGTGTAGATTTACTGAACAAGTTATGCTCGCGAAGGAGACGGCGGAGCGGGAGGTTTAGGACTCTCCCGGCCCGCCAGGCCCGGGAACGGGCCAGGTACCGCAGGCGACTCAGGCGCCGGAGGTCGCAGAACGACCTCCGTCCTCCATAAGCACAGGCCTGGGGGTGACAGGTGAGGCCATCTGTCACCCTAGCAGAAGCAGGCCGGGGTGGCAGCGAGCGCGTTGCAAAGCGCGCTCGCTTCCAGGGAGCAGAGGGAACATGGGGTTCCCACACGGAGGGGGTCGTCTACCTGTTGTTGTAGATGGCCCGAGGCATGTCGGGGCACCAGGGACTTCCTTTCTAGGGTATACCTGGTTCCCCGGCTATTAGTACCCGAGACGGGCGTGCGGTTTTAGTCGGTTCGAGTCCGACATGCCACCGATAGGTGATATCCGAGGGGATTTAAGAAAAAAAAAAGGTGTACTGAACAAATTGATTATCGATACACCATCTAAGGCGCAAGGAGCTTATAAAAAAATATATTTGTAAATTTATTATTCATGTGGCAACCCGCATCACATGTATTATCGTTTAATTATTATTAGTATCATTTAACAGTTATTATTATTGTATTAATTATTATTGTCATTTAAAAATATAGATCTTTAATTGTATTTAATTATTATAATTATGAGAAAGTGGAATTAACAAGGGAAGCTAATACATTGTTATGATGCTATGGGAGCTACAACTGCCGGTATTATACTGTGAACAAACTTTTTTTATTATTTTCTTTATTTAAAAATAATTTAGATGCAGGTATCATCATCAGCCAACTGCCGTCCACTGCTGAACAAAGGCCTCCACCAAGGAGCGCCAACCATCCCGGTCTCGGGCAATCCGCATCCATCCGCCACCAGCCATTTTCCTTAATGATGTAGGTATACCCAACAGAAATTAATAAAACTTTTATACCCTACATTGATAGAGATAACAGTGGTAGAGTACAAAAGGGTGGTCAATTAATAATACTAATAAACTAGGCAGCACCTGTGTGGTAACCAAGCTGTTGATAAAAATACATAAATACTTCTAAACACAACATAATTATGGATAACTTACAACTACAGACGCAGAACCAACGATTAGATTGATTATAAAGTACTCAATTCAATAATATGGAATAAAATGAGGGCAATACTAGAGGAGGATTGGGACCCTTCGCACGCTTTTCTTGTTAAAACATATCTGCTTTTCTATAAAACATAATTAATCTGGAACTAATGTATGATAATGCATTATGTTAGATACGCCCGAGTAATGATAAAGGTATATCTCTAAATATTGTGACGATACTTGTTTGAATGTACGGGGGTAGCTTCGTAGGGAGGTAGGTATATATGTAGATTAGATATATGTTATTGGTAATAGAACATTGTAAGTAACTTTTTAAAAGCAACAATGGTCCAAGTGTTGTTTTTGTTAATAAATAGGAGTAGGTGCCTGTTTATTATTATGTCATTCAATGTCTTTAAAATAAGGACGTCCTATGTTCCACTGTATGTATTTAAAAAAAATGTATATTCACTGATTTCTCCGTTAATTGTGGACCGATTTTTTAAATTATTTATGTTGCCGTTTTTACATTATTATTAACTT